TAAAATTTACATTAGGCCTACATAGTTTTCATCAATAAATTTTACATTGTTCAGGTAATAGGTGTCTGATTTCTACTATTCCCAGATACCTCCATCATCAAACACAAGTCGACACAAAATATTCCCTAGTATTTTGACAATAATTTTAACAAGGAATAAGGTTAAAATAAAGACAGTTAAAAAAATAAATAGTTTATTAGTAATGGTAACACATGAATGGCCCCAGGCATTAGGCACGCTATAAGGCGTTACAAAAGCTTCGTCCACATTTATAGATATTAGCTTACACATTCACACACTAAGCTACATGGTTCATCCCTTTATCACAGTTTGTATTTCTATTTACCACTACAGTAGAGTCCCGCAAACTCGGCACTCGATAACCCGGCAGTCTGGATAACTCGGTCATCACCTGGCTCAGAAAATTTGTGATTTTTTAGTTAAATATGTATGTACAGTATACATTTTTTTTCCTAAGGCACCAAGGACTTGTTTCACTATATCTGATGACTTAATACTGACTTTTAATATAAATATAAATAAAAAAGGCGGTTGAAAAGCTTCAAAAGTGTATTGTTAGGCCTAGTTCCCGATAACCCGGCATTTCACAAACTCGGCGCCCTTTCAGTCCACATTACGCCGAGTTTACGGGACTCTACTGTATAAAAAGTAAACCAGACTGGAGTCTCCTTAATATGACATCATTAGGTATTATCATTTCAATCTCTTTTATAAATAAAAGACTATATATTATTAACTTTTTTTAGTTTAAAACTAACTGGAATTAGGTATAAATCTGTCATCAATATTAATTTAGCAAGTAGATAAAATATTGGGGCAAACAAGACATCAAGAATCATTGAAAACTGTTTTCAGCAATCATTAATACAGTGAGTGCATTTGAATCATTATAGAAGTATTCTGTTCACTAAAATTATGATTAAAATATATTTGTTAATAACTTACTCCAACTGAGACATCTCAATCTAGGCAGTAATTATATAATGTTTAAGTAAAAAAAATATGTCTAATAAAATTTGAAACATTAATTACACTTATACAGTTAACTCGTAATACAGGAAATATATATTAGGTTAGTCGGTGGCTCATTCGGAAGTGTTACAGACTTCGGGCCCAAGGTAGCAATGTTGTGGGTTCGGATCACGGTGACTGCCGCAAACATTTTATCAGCACAGTTCACCCTTGACCTGTACCGGCTCGCCCCATTGCTTTGATGGGTATGCGTTCCATGCACGTGCCCATAGTCTATGGGGACGGGCAAATGCAAGGTTAAAAGAGGCCGCCGACCACTTTAAAAAAAAAAAGATAGAGGTAGTATGTGGTGGTCGATTTTGATTGGACTCCCCTATCATCATCAGACCCAATAGGCGATTGACAGTCATTTGTCTAATTAATGAGTCCAATCAAAATCGATAACCTGTCATCATCTTTCTCGATCACCTACGGCCGACCACTGCCGGTGGCACAAAAATCTGATGCACTGTGTGGATGAGTGCGCAAAAACGTTTAAATTTAGTTTCATCCAAATGAGAGGCATATGCTGCTTCCCAGTCGTTTTGGACGTAGTTTTACAAGATGTTAGGTTCTTGTAAAACCTAGCATCACTAAACAATACTGCTAGCCCGCTTTCAGTATTGTAAAATGTAGACATATTGACTAAACTTTGTGAATAAAGAATATTTGATTGATTGATTGACAGGGAAAAGCAGGGGTGAATTATCTGGATACACCATCAAAATATACCGCAAAAAAGCAATAAAGCACAATTTTAAGGTTAGGTTCCTTCCACAATGCTGCAGTACATTCATTAACATTATTCTATTGTATGTCATTAGATCCAAGCCTCCCACGCTACAATACATTTTTAACCGTCCCTACCACCAATAAAATAGTCGGATCAGAAAACCAACTATACCAGATTGAAGTATAAAAGTGGCACAATAAGCGGCAAGCGAAACAACGGCAGTGGCTAACCTCGCATTGGAGCAATAGTTTGTGAACGGCGCTTTGACGAGTATACTCGTCGCGCGCCACTGGAAAGAGCTAGCAGTGATGAGATTACTCGTCATCCGCAGTGAACGTGTTAAAAAGTAATATAAACTTAAACATTTGACTCATTAGTTCATGTTATGTTGTTTTTGGGTTAGTTTGAGGATTATAATTGACATAATTGCTTAATTTCTAATTTCTATGAAAGTGATGTATTTGTTGTTCTAAATAATATATATCAATTGAAATATAAATAGGGCTTAGTTTAATAATCAACGACGTATAAGTTTATAACTTTATCCTATTCTATAGAAAATATTTTCAGTCATTACAATGTTTCATACACTTTTGTGTAATTCAACTCTAAAAATTGAATTTTATCTGTAATCCTATGGTTTTACTCTTGCAATATTTTATCTGATGTTATTCCAATACTATCATCAGCATTAATTCGGCTATGTATTTCACTTTTAGGCTACTATAAATAACTATGAATACACGTATCACTTATTTACATTGTTATAAAACTATATAAAATAGTAAGGTACATTATAAAAATAGCCACATTACAAACATGCATGAAACATACATTGAAGTTCATTATAAACTTCAAATATATCTGTTTGATTGAGAATCAGGACAAGAGTACAAGTTGTAACACTTTGGAAATACAAATAATAAGAAAATTAATCACTGCAAACTACCAGTCTTAATAACTAATCATTGGAATAACAACTCAGGAGTCGCCAGAGACCCTAACTTACAGACTAGAGGTTTTCTTCAGTTCTTTTTTGTAAAAATAAAGGTGAAAATAACATAAACAAAAACCACTACAACACACTACAACAATAATCATTTACTAGTTAATGGTAATTCTGATTGGCTATTTGGGTGATACATTGGTACTTGGTAATCGAATCGTACTTGGTAGTGGTAATCCATTGGAAATCATAATAACGTAGTTGAGTGAAAATTTAAAAACGTACGTTTTCAGGAAAAGCACTTTGCACATTTTTTCCCCTTTTTTCAAAACTTTTATTATTATTTTTATTTCATTAACATTTGAAGTTTCATAAAATGTCCATGGTAACGCAATATCTTTGGTATTTTTTTTTTTAAAGAGCATCTTTAGTGGAAAAACACAAAATCCTGTCACGACCATAACAGACGTTTAAATGAATATTAAAAATAGTTAATATTATTTTTATAACTATGTTTTGAAATAAACTAATTTACTTTTATGACCATTATACAATAAAAAGGTCACTGAGCTTTTGGTATATTTGGTCTTTCTTGAAAAAATAAAAAAACTCAAAAAATTGGAAAAAAAACCAATAAAATCTTTTTAAGTTTGTATAACTCTGAAAAAACTTACCTGAGACCCGAAAAATCGTTATGTTTGTATAGAGGTGTGCTTCTTTTGTGTATAAAACATTGAAATATGACGATATTTTAATTTTTGAAATTTTTATGATAGAAATCATAAACATGATGGTCAGGGACAAGCGGTACGGTTGTGAATTTTCTGAAATAATCTAAATCTTTCTAAACAATCCTTCAATTATACTGTTAGTTATAATAAAAATAAGTGTTTCAATTGAACTAAACTGTTCAAATTACAATTATAATAAAGTTATTGTCACAACCAAACACACTATAATCCATAAGGCTGGATTGGTCGTGAAAAAACCCGCGATGGTCGTGAAACTTTGGTCGTGAAATTACGTGTTATTTGGCTCTGTTCTAGCGGTAGCCCTGCACCTCATGTTCGAGGATACAAAGTGGACTTCTAGGTTAATCTAGCAATTGAAATATCTTATAAACAAAAATTAACACCATGTCTACTTCATCGAATGACTACGTACGGTCATGGACACACCAAAATTACAAAAAATACAATCTTTCCTTTATTAATCTTGTAATTCCTCCTTTCAACTCGAAATGACCGGCACTACAATCCTGACGTACACACCGAACTAGTCTCTAAAACCAACTGACTCCATCGACGCCAGGCTTGCAACTGTCGTGCTCCAAAGTTGAAAATTTTTCCCAAATGGTCGTGACGCCAAATCGAGGGACAGACTTATTTTGTCATGGTAGTCAGTTTGCAATGACAATAAAGTTATAATATGCTCCTTTTTTGTAAGTTTAATAACCATTGATGACATAAAAATATGGCTTTATATATTTCGGCATGAATAATTAGTCTAAAAACAGCGTGAAAGTTGGAAAATGTACCCTAGGGACACGTCATGGTAAAAATACAAAAAAAATACCTAGAACCTATTTAAAACCAAATATATGTGTGTAACATGTTGCTCCCGTCCCAAAAAAATATTAAAACACATAATAATAAACTACAAATCCAGTATCTACGAAGTAAAAGGCCAGGGACATGAAAACGTACGTTTTTAAATTTTCACTCAGTTAAAGTAAAGTTGAGTTGTAACACCTTGTTTGTTCTTTATTAAATAGAATTACCTTTAATATTATTTCTAAACAACTAACAAGTTTTTAAGAAACAAAATTTTATTTTTTATAAGTAAAAACCTAAATTTGCTTAAAATAACCATATTAGGCCCGGTTTCCCCAACTCATTTAAACTTTTAAGTTAAACGGCGATTTAAACGTAGTTTAACTTTGATTTGTGTTTCCCCAAATTTAAACTAGGTATTAATCTAAGTTCAAACTAAACCACCTCTCGACTTGGTTTAACTACTGGGGATAAAATAAACTGAGTTCAAATTAGTAAATTACAACAGTAACATAACCTCAAATCAAAACAAAAAGTAGGTGTTAAAACAATAATAATTGAAGCAACTACAAATTCATTTGGACGAAAATAGGCTTGGTTTAGGGCTAGCTTATAAGTTAAGTTTTATTTATAATTTATTGTTTTTATTGAGTTCTTTTTTTTTTGTACATTTGATTTTATTTCAAGTTAGGCTACTGTTAATTGCAGTATTTGACCCTTAACTGAAACGGAAGAGTTTAATATACATTTACGAAGATGAAGATTATGACACTTTAGTACCTAGAACAAGAGGGCCTACTAAAATAAGGGACAGAATTGACCATTTCAATAAATGGAATGAATCTGAATTTGACAACAACTTATAATAACTTGATAACATAACCTTAAACAGTGATGCTATTCTAGCTGCATTCGCACTTTGCTGTTCTACTGAGTTGTAGCGCAGCGTTGTGGTGGTTGTAGGAAGCACTAGCCCAAAGCCCACCAAAGATTCCTTACAAATACACATTCAGGATTGCCAACCGCTCGAATTGCCGTTTATCTTGAACGAAGACAGTAAAATGTTGGAGAAACCGAACACACATTTTAAACGGAGTTTAAAAATAAACTAGTTTATTATAAACGTAGTTTACACCATTTTGGGGAAACCGGGCCTTAGTGTATGTGTTAATTTAATTATGTGATTCAACATACACCATGGAGAAAAAAACACAGTCTTAAAAACACAGTAGGTATCAAGTACAAAAACTTAACATATAAACATAAACATAACAATAGGTGACAAATGTAAGTTAAAGGTAGTGCTTTTTAACAAAATAATAAGTTTTACTTTGTCTTACAGCAAGTTTGATTTGTAGTTCCTTGATATAGCCTATGTTGAAAAAAACTTAAAATAATAATAGGTTTCTTACAAATTAAAATCACTCTTTAAATCTATACTAAACCTACATGTACATTAAACAGGACAATGCTGGAATGCATTATGTGCAGTAGCACACCCCCCGCAGTATTGTAGAGTTTGCTCTCACCGCGGGGGGCAAACAATCCGCTTGTGACCCGTATCTGTTGATCCGCAACAGTTCCCCCACCACTTGACGTACCTCCGTACCATCAACCGTTCGCACGTCTACACTCGCCTCAAACACCCCATCACCTGGCTGTGTCCGGAACATAACCTGCACTTGGTATTCACTTGGGTGTCGTTTGCTCCTAGTCAACACTGCTGATTCCACCTTAGTTAACTCTTGAGTCGCACACTCTACGAGTCCGTCGAGCAAATCGTTGTTGAAGTGTTTAACGACGGCTTTAGCTGCTTCAACACTTCTCCGATCATCCGTGCTGAGTTTCTCCTGATCAGTCTGACAAACGCAGAACCAATCGGGTATTCCAGCTTCAGTACACTCTCTTGTCGTAGGAACTTCTCGGAAGAAGGACATCTCAGGACTCTTCTGACTGAAGTGTTTTGCCCATCGGATATTCAGCCCAGTCTTTTTCAGTTTTTCAAACTCGTAAATGTTAGGCACCGAATCTGTCAGTGTTGATAAAACATCAAGGAACGTACCGTGAATATCGTAACTAGATAAGAGCCTCTTGCTGTTTTTCTTGAGTGCTTCATGCCATTCCGGATACACCTTCTTTGTCCACGGTGGCAACACAACAGACACCATTGGCATTCTATCCTCAACCCTGCCTACATCTGTGAGGCGGATTGAGTCGATTCTGTTACCATGGTCACCCAAAATCAGCACCACCGTGCGGTTGAACAAGCCCTCCTCAAAACTGGAGCTCAAAAAGTCTTTCAGGTCTTCGTCTATAGCCTGAAACAGTAAACGGGTAAATTAATTTGGAACAGAAACTAAACTATGAACACCATTGATGAAGCACATCAACTGATGGTGACCAGTAATAAACAGTTCAAGCACAAAGAAAACTAAACCTATTTTTTACTGTATCCAATAAATTACACCAACTGATATATGGTTTACAGTGAACACACATATTTATAAATATCAAATGCAACATAATGAACCATAAATAGTTTCACATTTACTCACCCCAACGGTGTTGACGTAATCATGACTTGCTTCATTGAACAATGAAAACAAGAAGGCTGGTGAATCTCTATAGACTTGTAAGAAAGAGCGGAGATACTCAAAGTAAACAATGTGTTTGGGTTTTGGACCTATAAAAAAATTATAGTTGTAATACAGATATTTTTAATGGATCAGGTTTAGGTGGCACACATCCCTATACAGTATAGTCTTGATTATCCGATCTTCAGTTATCTGACGTTCTATGTTATCCGACCCTCCCTATGTACATCAAGTATTAAAAAAACCATTTGCTACTCGTGTGTGGTGTTCACCCCAATACTTGAAAGGTATGAGCCATGCTTTAAACAGTCATTTAAGATTGTTTTAGTGTGCTGAGTACCGCATAGTTTTCAACTCCTAAACCTCACATCTTAGTCACAGTGTGGATGGAGAACTTTGGCTGAGTTGAAAAGTACCTTTAATATTTTACGGTTACAGTAATGGTGTTACTACAGTGGTATTTTTTCTGTTGTGTGTTAGCATATGTGTGTTGATGGCTGTTTAAAAGTTACTGGTTTTAATGGAAAACAAACTTAAAGCCTTAAAAAGGTGTTTGATACTGGTTGGTTTATTTGGTGGTTACCGGGCTATGAACCTATATATCAAACCTTTCCGCAGCCAGTTTAGGACGGATAATCAAGACTCTACTGTATCTAGGGATAAAAAAATGTGTCTACCCTTAACACTCTTTACTTACAGTTCCTACTTGGCAGTTTAGCTGAATGATAAAATTGTTCATGCCAATAAACTTGAAAGAACACATCATAAAAGATACTAGTGTACCTGTTGCTCGAAATCGAGCAATTGTCAAGTACTGGTATTATACAGAAGTTATTTTAAAACTACAGTAATAACAGACATAATTTTTGAAAAGTTTTAAAGGCCTGACTAAATGCTTATGTAACTAATTGAAATACGCTATTTAATAGCGCTTTGAAATAATAAACGCTTCTTGTAAAAATATGGTACCATTTTTTGGACCCGGCCTTATTTTTTAGTGTTTTCTACAAATGTTTCCCGACTTAAAGCTGTTACCAGTAAACATTTCTTGCATGTATTTATTTGATCTGACTTAAGGTAGGTTTACTTTACCACTATAACAACACGATGTGTATATTCTTCATGGTTTTTTTTACTTCCAGAATAAGTTTCTTAGCATAACTGACACAAAATGATTCATTTCCCCAAGTGATTGTGTACCTTGATTCTTTACTGTGAAACTAGGCCTCTCCTCTACAGTACTCTTCTTATACGTATAAGATTTCCTATTAATTGTCTCCTCCTCCTGTTTTAAATATTTCTCCTTTAAACTGAAGAAATTGTCTGTTATTCCAACAAAACTGATTGACTGTTTGGATTCGTTGATCTGTTTGGAACCTCCTAAATACTACAAACATCAATATTTACTCCCAAAAAGCTGGTGAGTTTTTTTTTATATACAGCTGTTTTTGTTTTTAAAATTGTTTTCAACGTAATTCTTATGGGGAAATTGTGACCTTTGAGTGCGCATCGTGCCCTTAAGGGTAAGAGTTTTAAAATTCTAAAACCTTTATGCAAAACTACGAATTGAGACAAATTATTTGACACCTCAAACGTTAAAATCGGTCCAGAAATAACGGAGGAGTTTTGTTCACAAAAAACAGCCCTCACAAGATAGCCTTATGAAGAAATGTGTCTATATTTCAAAAATATTTTCTGAAATGCTGAAACAAAAATATTGTTTTATAAGTTTTAATCATCATTTCCAGTCACGTCACGACTAAGTATTTTTGTTCATATTTTTCACCATGATGATTGATTTTTAGTACTTATGTATGGAGTTGGAAATTAGTAAAAGCACAGGTTACCAAGGCAATATGTAGAAGACATGCGATAGAGCAGGGACTCCTCAATAGCCAGCCAGAATGTTCTCATGTAGTGAAGTGTGGGCTGTTGCTTAAGGCCTGAAATATAAAATATAAAATTAATGGCACAGAGTGTTTTATTATCTTTGTTCTAAAATTTACAGTTTATAAATGAATGGTTGATTTACACATAAACTTTACTGAGAATTAAAATTGATTGATCTAGCTTTGTTAACCTATCTTTAAAAAGTGAGTGCAGCCCTAAAAATAGACTTGTTTGTGTATTTTTTTATGAGTGTATTGATTAATCCCAAAGAATATAAAAGAGTTTGAATCGCTCAATAACAAGAAACGCATACAGAACTTAACTTAAAATTTTTTTTAGGAATAGGAATGAGAAATCAATATAATTTTTAGTTTATGATCAGCTCAATTTGCATATTCAAAAAGGATTAGTATTCATGTTGTTCAAAGGTTTATTGAGGACATTTTCCATCACAATGGTAATAAACAATACACAACGTTTTGGGATCTGGAATCTGATCCCGTCCTCAGGTTTTTTACCATCGTGATGGAAAATGTCCGCAATAAACCTTTGAACAACATTAACTCACCATCACCAACAATGAACTTCAAACAAAGAATATTAGTATTCAATTTTACAAAGCCTAAATCCTCAATTTTTAAGGGTTTTCTCAGCAGCATTTGGAAATAGAAAAAATGCTGGTCCTGAATTAATCATGATGGAACAAACCTTACCTGTAGAAACGTAGTCAAACATATTGAACTGTGGCAAGTCCTCAGAATACATTGTAGCAGCTCCTTCGGCTTCAAATTGACCCCAAACAAGAGGCCAGTGCTGAAAACATAGGAGAAACATTGGTTCTGTCCCAAAACACAATGTTAGATGCATTGCCACCAAAATGTAAAATATCCTGCTTTCCTACAACATAAATTAGTTTTGAGTAACAAACAATACAAAAAACATCAGATTTAAAATGTTTCTTGTATTATTGGCAAACAATGTATTGCTCAAGATATATAGGCTAATAGTTTTTTCTCAAAAACTACTATAAACTGAAAATTTTATAGATTGAATTTATTACACAAAACTAATTAAATTTATTATTTAGTATTTATATTATCCAACCTGGATTGCATTCATATTTTTAAATCAGCATATTTCAATCCACACCTACCCAAAATTAAGCCCAACATAAAATAACATTTTAATTTCTTTTTGTATAGCAACTACTTATAAAATTTGGTATGTCCTGATATGAAATAGTATATTTCATTACTAGGACCGAAAGTGGCATTTTCCGTCGCGCGCCCAAGTTTTTGTGTGAGGCGAAGCCGAACATAGGGAACTCCAATTTCACGTGCGAGGCGAAGCCGAGTATGTGAGAGCTATTTTCACGTACGAGGTGAAGCCGAGGACGGGAATAATGGAGCAAGTGCCGGATAATAACTTTCGGTACGAGTTATGAACGATACTTTTCATCACGACGCAAAAATACACAAACACAGAATAGCAGACCTCAGTATATTAAAACAATTTTATTTCTCAATTAATTTGATTAAACATCAAAATAAAATAAAATCTTCTAAAAAGAAACCCACGTATATTTCTCAATAAATTTGGTTTAAACATCAAAATAAAAGAATAACACAACTTTTAAAAATACACACAGCTGATTAAAATCATTAAATTAAACCGTAACAAAACACTGGCGCGCGTAGTGAATAAATGGAGAACTAATTGAGAGCGAGGGAAAGTAAATTTAGAGCGAGGGAAAATCAGCTGATCGATTTTCCCTCGCCCTAAATTAGAGCTTGGGAAACGACTACTTTCATTGATATCAGCTGTTATCGAAAATAGTTACTTTCGTTAAGGAGTGATGAAAAAGGAAATACAGTAGCATGCAACTTCACAGTACTCCAATCAGCCACAGGGAGTTTCAGATAACACAGAAGATCTGATAATCAAGAGTATTACTGTTAATACTTTGTTTACCATATGTAGAAGGTAGAACCTGAGATGTATTGCGACTGACCTGGTAGTAGTAAAACTCGCCCCACGCGCAAGGTCGACCGGTCAACATAGGTATGAGGTTTGGGAATGTATTCTCCCCCACCTTGTTGAAGCCAAGCAGCACTGTCCCTTGCAGCGTGTCTGTGATGAAGCGATAAGACTGCGGCAGTTGACGCATGAAGTTGAGCCGAGACATGGAATCAATTCCGATAACAGCCACACTCAGCTCCCTGTCGTTCTGGAAAAAAGGGTTAAAGCCCATTAGTTTGGATTAGAATTTTAGTGTTAGGGGGCAGATGAGTTGTGTGGAATATAAGTCTGATAGTATGTGAATCTATATAGGGTGACGAAAAAGTTTGGAGACTGATTGATATCTTTTTAGCTAAATTTGTTAGAAAATTCAAACCTTTCACATCAATTTATATGTATGAAAGCTACTTTTTGCAAGCATTACCATTTTTTTGCCTTCACCAGGGGACGGCCCATGAGGAGTAGGTACATAATCTTTAATGTAAGCATAGGTTGGTATGCACATCATTTTAAAGGGTTAGTTAAGTGGAGTTCATTGCCGGAAACCGTGTCAAAAAAGGTTCATCCGTTACAAAATGGTGGCAGTCCAAATTTCTTGCGGAATATACCCGCACAAGCCTGTGTGGATGCTGTAATGGTCTGAGACAAAGGGCCATCATCCATCAACATGTGCCGGAAGAAAAATACAACTGAAATACTCAAAAGATGACATTTAACATAATACCTAGAATAGAATAGAATGTTTGTTTATTTTATCTTTCAGATCGGATACATATAATACACAGGTCACAATTATTGCACAACAAATTCACATTACATTACCTTAAAACTGGTAATTACCATTACCACAATTTATAATGTATACATTTACCGTCTTGTTCAAACAGTATAAGTGTAAATATATGTTTCAAGTGTTATTAGATGCATTTTTTATTTACTCTCTGTAAAATTAATAACACCTATTATGCTGATTAAAAAGTTATTTATCTTTACTTGTGTTTGAAAAACAGACAAATGTTCTTATATTTTAATTAAAGTTATAGGCCTATTGTAAATATTCTCAAAACAATGAATAAAGTTCAAATTTAAGAAAGTCCATTGTACTGTTTATTTACAGATTCAGTAACCTCTGGCTGGTTGAAGAAGACATACATATTTTACATACTTTATTAGGGATTCTTAGATTTCTATCCAAGATAACTTTTAATCAGTAATTCCCTGTTTGAATATGGATTTTAAACCAAGCACCTAGTGGACTTGTTATAGCGTTACCACCATAGCCTTTTTACTTACCCTAAATCTCCGGACAGTCTCGTTGCGTTGAGCGAAAGCGTGAAAATTGGAGTATGTGCGGAAACCTGCAAAGTTTTGACATTCTACGTAGATAAAATCGGAGCGAGGTCTGTCTCGACCAGACATCTGTATTTGCTTGCCGTATATGACTTTAAAATCATCCTCAGGAGGCCTGAATATCTCCTAAAAATAATAAAATTATGTAGCAAAACAAATGTGTAACACCCACAAATGTTAAGAACCAAAATATTATGGGATGTTTAATATCTTAATATATTTAATTGATTATAGTAAAATGCTGCATACTACCCTCAATGTTATAAATAATAATGCATGACGAACTACCATCCTTGTACAGAACATTATAGTTTTGGATAGCTACATCAGCTTTAATTATCCATTTAATTTACCTTCTTGGTGGTTTGAAACTTAAACCAAGATCTTTGTGATTATTGGACTTTTAATCATCGATTCTAGTTAATGGATCAGCTGATCATAGTCAATAACAAGGTCATTATTTAATTAGTACAACACTAACCTTGCAGTCCTACTGTATTTGCTTTGAAATACGAGTGCAATCACAATCCCTGGTGAGTTGGAATTGTATGAATTTTATATATATGAGAAAAAATCCATCTCATGCATCAGTATTCTTTCACATTATAAGCCCGAGTAAATGCTATTTATATTCCCTGATAGTTCAATGTCATTCAAATGGCTATGGTGAATTGTACCTGATTAGACAATCTACTTTTCCTGACCATTATTTGTAAGTACCACTCACACAGTATCCACCCTAATATTTTTTATTACATGCATGAAACGTATGTCTCTAAACAATCGAGAATGTCTTACCTGATAAAAACAGTAAGGTGGTGATTCTTCGTCATATCCAGCCTCACCCAACCCAGTCTTGTTGAAACGCAAGTAGCCTTCCTCATCCATCAAAGTTAAGATGTTGCTTCTCGCAAAACAACTGTCAAGATATTAATATTAGATATTTCATAATTTTACATTCAAGGTAAACACTTTCTATTGATTGAATATGTAGTGCTTCTCCAGAAAACGTATGCTCTAGATTATTTCAATACTCTTAGCTTACCTGATGGGCTTAGCTATCTTGACTAGCGGAAGGATTGATTCATCGAATGGATGTAATATCGGAAACTGACAGGTCACCTCGGGATCTCTTTCGTCTGCGTAGAAGTCCTGTAAAATCATTCACTTGTTTAAAAACTAAAAACATTAAATTTGATAGTTGGTAAATGTGTATAGCAGTAGTTATTAAATAGACATAAAATGGTACAAAATGTTTAACTTTTAAATTTACCTAAAAAGCCTAATACAACACACTGTGAGTGATTTTTTTATGTGCTGACTTTGCCTTTTAACACGTTCGCTACTGAGCGTCGCATATATGCGACGCCACGGTCATTGCCACAGACCGAGGTATACATTTGAATCTTACACATAGACCGGCTGTGACTTGGATAACATTACTCACAGACCACGGGGGGGAAACCTGTAAAACGGTGTTCATCTACATTGTAATACGCTACAATCGTGTATGTAAATAATTTATTCTTGTTTTTTTGTATTTTTTATAACCTTTTGTTATGTCGCATATTTGCGACGCCCGGTCTACAGCGAAGACAATAGTAAAAATTAACATAGTTTTCTTGAAATAGACCATACGTCGCATATATGCGACAGTTCATTTTTTGTATTTTGAGGTGAAAGTAAGTAAAAAAAATTAGTTAAAAATTATTTAAGAACAGTTTATAACTGAACAAATATAAAAGCTACATACTGTAGGATAATTCAGTATACATACTGCATACATACATACAGTGATACAGAAAAGTAATGACCAGTTTTTCCAACTATCATATGACGTCACCAATCATCATATCCACAGACCAAGCGACGCAGTTGTGCGTCAGACATCTCTGTAGACCACTGCAGGGAATTCAGTGCCTTCAAATAGACCGTTACAAAGATATAAGCATTTTAATAACATTCAAACCCCGACGCAAATATGCGACGGCATTCTATTTTAATGTGACTAGCTAGTCATATGGGTGGAAACCAGGCCGTCGCATATGTGCGTCGCTGGTCCATGTGAATGAAAAATTTCGTACTATTGCAGTAGCGAACGTGTTAAAGTATTTCCATTGTACTGTAGGACACAAGGAATCTTTTCAGCGAATTAGCATTAAGAAACTAGTGTTTCTGATTGTGCCATAAGTAAAAGTTGGTTTTGTTAAGGGCTGTTCACACCAGTGTCAGCCGACGTCTTACTACACCTTTGGAGCTCTTAATGTTATTTAAATGTGGATGTTCACACCGGCGTATTAATTCGCAAGCGAAGGGGGGGTGGCAGTCGCTGCCGCTACACCTGCTAGCTACACAGGGCTCTCGTTGCCGAATATGCGTATGCCCACTAGCAGCCTGAGCTGTCACCGTCACCCTTCTAAAATGATCTAAACTTTTCAACATCATTCATTAGGCGATCCATTAAATGGTGAAATTCACCCAATTGGTTTCTTCTTTGACTAATTGGATGGATCCATTTAGCTCTTTGGGATGCAGAGTATAACAGCAACAGTTCGTTGTCACTATCACTGCCATCACATCACTCTACATCCATGGCAGAGTATCTACATTTGTAGGATCGCATCATGGTATTGAATAGGACACCATTACAGGATCTACTATGGGTGCAAGGTATGATCTTGATCTGTGAGCAGATGGGGTGTGGTGCTGGCTGGTGGAAGAAAAAATAGCGACGCCACGCCAGCTACGTAGCTAGTTGTAGCAAGCGATTTGAACAGTGCGTGGGTGACATATACCAAAGACTTAGTAGGAAGTCTGTCAACGCCGGTGTGAACAAGCCTTTAACAATTAAAATTAGTTAAAAACACAACAAAACAAAATCAACATAGTGTATTTTAAGTGCTTAAAATTGGGCCACTGAATTACCTTGTATACGACCATGGATTCCAATCGAGGCCCAAAGAACTCCTTCTGGACATGATGGACTGTTACAATTGCTGAAAAAACATAATGACATTGTTAAAAGGCTTAATCAATCTTTTTTCATTAAAAAGGGTTACTGGTATGTGATTTTCAAGATACCGGTTTCAAGGTACTGGAATATTAAGCCCTGGTGAATATTGTGGGAAAATTATATTTTCTAAATCTTACGTGAATTAAATTCAACATTGTAACAGTAGGTAAAGCAGATGATAGGTAGTTCAATTGTGAGTTAAACCGATTACTCTCTACCTTACAAAAGACACAAACTCTGAGAAGTCTGTCTGTTATGCTTTTTGTCAGCCATCTACTAAAATTTGTCAACACTTTCAAGAGTCTGCTATAAAAGAAAAATATCCTGAATCCAAGACCTCCAATTTTAATAGTCACCCAGCAAGAATTGTCAAATCAAAAACAGAAGCAGTGTATACTTGGCAATTTTTGCTCAGTTTTGATAGGAAAAGTTAGGTTCAAGGTGTCTTACCGAGAACAGTAAGTAAGATGAGGGCAGGTTCAAAGTGTCTTACCGAGAGCAGTGAGGAAGGTGAGGGCAGGTTCAAGGTGTCTTACCGAGAACAGTGAGGAAGGTGAGGGCAGGTTCAATAATGTATCTTTACTGAGAGCAGTGAGGAAGATGAGGGCAGGTTCAAGGTGTCTTACCGAGAACAGTGAGGAAGATGAGGGCAGGTTCAAGGTGTCTTACCGGAAACAGTGAGGAAGATGAGGGCAGGTTCAAGGTGTCTTACCGAGAGCAGTGAGGAAGATGAGGGCAGGTTCAAGGTGTCTTACCGAGAGCAGTAAGGAAGATGAGGGCAGGTTCAAGGTGTCTTACCGAGAGCAGTGAGGAAGATGAGGGCAGGTTCAAGGTGTCTTACCGAGAACAGTGAGGAAGATGAGGGCAGGTTCAAGGTGTCTTACCGAGAACAGTGAGGAAGATGAGGGCAGGTTCAAGGTGTCTTACCGAGAACAGTGAGGAAGATGAGGGCAGGTTCAAGGTGTCTTACCGAGAGCAGTGAGGAAGGTGAGGGCAGGTTCAATGTGTCTTACCGAGAACAGTGAGGAAGATGAGGGCAGGTTCAAGGTGTCTTACCGAGAACAGTGAGGAAGATGAGGGCAGGTTCAAGGTGTCTTACCGAGAACAGTGAGGAAGATGAGGGCAGGTTCAAGGTGTCTTACCGAGAGCAGTGAGGAAGGTGAGGGCAGGTTCAAGGTGTCTTACCGAGAACAGTGAGGAAGATGAGGGCAGGTTCAAGGTGTCTTACCGAGAGCAGTGAGGAAGATGAGGGCAGGTTCAAGGTGTCTTACCGAGAGCAGTGAGGAAGATGAGGGCAGGTTCAAGGTGTCTTACCGAGAACAGTGAGGAAGATGAGGGCAGGTTCAAGGTGTCTTACCGAGAACAGTTAGGATGATGAGGGCAGGTTCAAGGTGTCTTACCGAGAACAGTGAGGAAGATGAGGGCAGGTTCAAGGTGTCTTACCGAGAGCAGTGAGGAAGGTGAGGGCAGGTTCAAGGTGTCTTACCGAGAACAGTGAGGGTAATGAAGGCAAGTTCAAGGTGTCTTACCGAGAGCAGTGAGGAAGATGAGGGCAGGTTCAATGTGTCTTACTGAGAGCAGTGAAGAAGATGAGGGCAGGTTCAAGGTGTCTTACCGAGAACAGTGAGGGTAATAAAGGCAAGTTCAAGGTGTCTTACCGAGAGCAGTGAGGAAGATGAGGGCAGGTTCAAGGTGTCCTACCGAGAGCAGTGAGGAAGATGAGGGCAGGTTCAATGTGTCTTACCAAGAGCAGTGAGGAAGATGAGGGCAGGTTCAAGGTGTCTTACCGAGAGCAGTGAGGGTAATGAAGGCAAGTTCAAGGTGTCTTACCGAGAGCAGTGAGGAAGATGAGGGCAGGTTCAAGGTGTCTTACCGAGAACAGTGAGGAAGATGAGGGCAGGTTCAAGGTGTCTTACCGAGAACAGTGAGGAAGATGAGGGCAGGTTCAAGGTGTCTTACCGAGAGCAGTGAGGAAGGTGAGGGCAGGTTCAAGGTGTCTTACCGAGAACAGTGAGGAAGATGAGGGCAGGTTCAAGGTGTCTTACCGAGAGCAGTGAGGAAGATGAGGGCAGGTTCAAGGTGTCTTACCGAGAACAGTGAGGGTAATAAAGGCAAGTTCAAGGTGTCTTACCGAGAGCAGTGAGGAAGATGAGGGCAGGTTCAAGGTGTCCTACCGAGAGCAGTGAGGAAGATGAGGGCAGGTTCAATGTGTCTTACCAAGAGCAGTGAGGAAGATGAGGGCAGGTTCAAGGTGTCTTACCGAGAGCAGTGAGGGTAATGAAGGCAAGTTCAAGGTGTCTTACCGAGAGCAGTGAGGAAGATGAGGGCAGGTTCAATGTGTCTTACCAAGAGCAGTGAGGAAGATGAGGGCAGGTTCAAGGTGTCTTACCGAGAGCAGTGAGGGTAATGAAGGCAAGTTCAAGGTGTCTTACCGAGAGCAGTGAGGAAGATGAGGGCAGGTTCAAGGTGTCTTACCGAGAACAGTGAGGAAGATGAGGGCAGGTTCAAGGTGTCTTACCGAGAGCAGTGAGGGTAATGAAGGCAAGTTCAAGGTGTCTTACCAAGAGCAGTGAGGAAGATGAGGGCAGGTTCAAGGTGTCTTACTGAGAGCAGTGAGGGTAATGAAGGCAAGTTCAAGGTGTCTTACCAAGAGCAGTGAGGAAGATGAGGGCAGGTTCAAGGTGTCTTACCGAGAGCAGTGAGGGTAATGAAGGCAAGTTCAAGGTGTCTTACCGAGAGCAGTGAGGAAGATGAGGGCAGGTTCAAGGTGTCCTACCGAGAGCAGTGAGGAAGATGAGGGCAGGTTCAATGTGTCTTACCAAGAGCAGTGAGGAAGATGAGGGCAGGTTCACGGTGTCTTACCGAGAGCAGTGAGGGTAATGAAGGCAAGTTCAAGGTGTCTTACCGAGAGCAGTGAGGAAGATGAGGGCAGGTTCAAGGTGTCTTACCGAGAACAGTGAGGAAGATGAGGGCAGGTTCAAGGTGTCTTACCGAGAACAGTGAGGAAGATGAGGGCAGGTTCAAGGTGTCTTACCGAGAGCAGTGAGGAAGGTGAGGGCAGGTTCAATGTGTTTTACCGAGAGCAGTGAGGAAGATGAGGGCAGGTTCAAGGTGTCCTACCGAGAGCAGTGAGGAAGATGAGGGCAGGTTCAATGTGTCTTACCAAGAGCAGTGAGGAAGATGAGGGCAGGTTCAAGGTGTCTTACCGAGAGCAGTGAGGGTAATGAAGGCAAGTTCAAATGTCTTACCGAGAGCAGTGAGGAAGATGAGGGCAGGTTCAAGGTGTCTTACCGAGAACAGTGAGGAAGATGAGGGCAGGTTCAAGGTGTCCTACCGAGAACAGTAAGTAAGATGAGGACAGGTTCAAAGTGTCTTACCGAGAGCAGTGAGGAAGGTGAGGGCAGGTTCAAGGTGTCTTACCGAGAACAGTGAGGAAGGTGAGGGCAGGTTCAATAATGTATCTTTACTGAGAGCAGTGAGGAAGATGAGGGCAGGTTCAAGGTGTCTTACCGAGAACAGTGAGGAAGATGAGGGCAGGTTCAAGGTGTCTTACCGGAAACAGTGAGGAAGATGAGGGCAGGTTCAAGGTGTCTTACCGAGAGCAGTGAGGAAGATGAGGGCAGGTTCAAGGTGTCTTACCGAGAGCAGTAAGGAAGATGAGGGCAGGTTCAAGGTGTCTTACCGAGAGCAGTGAGGAAGATGAGGGCAGGTTCAAGGTGTCTTACCGAGAACAGTGAGGAAGATGAGGGCAGGTTCAAGGTGTCTTACCGAGAACAGTGAGGAAGATGAGGGCAGGTTCAAGGTGTCTTACCGAGAACAGTGAGGAAGATGAGGGCAGGTTCAAGGTGTCTTACCGAGAGCAGTGAGGAAGGTGAGGGCAGGTTCAATGTGTCTTACCGAGAACAGTGAGGAAGATGAGGGCAGGTTCAAGGTGTCTTACCGAGAACAGTGAGGAAGATGAGGGCAGGTTCAAGGTGTCTTACCGAGAACAGTGAGGAAGATGAGGGCAGGTTCAAGGTGTCTTACCGAGAGCAGTGAGGAAGGTGAGGGCAGGTTCAAGGTGTCTTACCGAGAACAGTGAGGAAGATGAGGGCAGGTTCAAGGTGTCTTACCGAGAGCAGTGAGGAAGATGAGGGCAGGTTCAAGGTGTCTTACCGAGAACAGTGAGGGTAATGAAGGCAAGTTCAAGGTGTCTTACCGAGAGCAGTGAGGAAGATGAGGGCAGGTTCAATGTGTCTTACTGAGAGCAGTGAAGAAGATGAGGGCAGGTTCAAGGTGTCTTACCGAGAACAATGAGGGTAATAAAGGCAAGTTCAAGGTGTCTTACCGAGAGCAGTGAGGAAGATGAGGGCAGGTTCAAGGTGTCCTACCGAGAGCAGTGAGGAAGATGAGGGCAGGTTCAATGTGTCTTACCAAGAGCAGTGAGGAAGATGAGGGCAGGTTCAAGGTGTCTTACCGAGAGCAGTGAGGGTAATGAAGGCAAGTTCAAGGTGTCTTACCGAGAGCAGTGAGGAAGATGAGGGCAGGTTCAAGGTGTCTTACCGAGAACAGTGAGGAAGATGAGGGCAGGTTCAAGGTGTCTTACCGAGAGCAGTGAGGGTAATGAAGGCAAGTTCAAGGTGTCTTACCAAGAGCAGTGAGGAAGATGAGGGCAGGTTCAAGGTGTCTTACTGAGAGCAGTGAGGGTAATGAAGGCAAGTTCAAGGTGTCTTACCAAGAGCAGTGAGGAAGATGAGGGCAGGTTCAAGGTGTCTTACCGAGAGCAGTGAGGGTAATGAAGGCAAGTTCAAGGTGTCTTACCGAGAGCAGTGAGGAAGATGAGGGCAGGTTCAAGGTGTCCTACCGAGAGCAGTGAGGAAGATGAGGGCAGGTTCAATGTGTCTTACCAAGAGCAGTGAGGAAGATGAGGGCAGGTTCACGGTGTCTTACCGAGAGCAGTGAGGGTAATGAAGGCAAGTTCAAGGTGTCTTACCGAGAGCAGTG